GTGATATGGGGCAGAACTAGGAAGCTCCCTCTTGGCCTAACATGTGGCAGAAGCTTGCCCAATTTTATGGAGTCATTTAAAACTTTCTGCTTGATTTCTTAGTAATGGCTTGACAGCTTTTGAGGAACTGAGAGTAATAAAGCCTGGGGAAAGAAAAACAAAATGCAACACATAGCATTTCTCCCATTCGTAGGTTATCAAGGGTTCATAGAACACAAAGATCAGTGGGAATGGTGATAAAGATGATGTGGGTGGTCTAAGTGAAAATGCCACTCACGTCATTTCACTAATAATGATAATAAAACACATCTCACTATTTTTAAAATAGGTTTACAGGAACTTGAGCAGATAATACAGAGAGTTCCCGTATACCCACCACTTCCTCAAACACGCAGTTTCCCCTAGTATTGACATCTTGCATTAGTGTGGTACATTTGTTACAATTGATGAACCAATACTGATATGTTATTATTAACTAAGTCCATAGTTTACGTTAGGGTTCACTCTTTGTGTTGTACATTCTTTGGTTTTGACAAACATACAGTGACATGTATCCACCATTACAGTATGATACAGAATAGTTTCAGTGCCCTAAAATCCTGTGTTCCACCTATTCACCCTGAGTCCCTGAGCCCCTAAGCTCCTGGCAAGCACTGACTTTTTACTGTCCTTCTAGTTTTACTTTATCCAGAATTTCATACAGCATGTAACCTTTTCAGACTAGCTTCTTTCACTAAGCAATATGCAATTAAGATTCCCCCATGTTGGGGGGTGGGTATAGCTCAGTGGTAGAGCACATGCTTAGCATGCAATGAGGTCCTGGGTTCAATCCCCAGTACCTCCATTAAAAAAAATTCCTCCATGTCTTTTGTGATTTGATAACTCATTTCCTTTTATCACTAATATTTCATTATATGGATGTACCAAAATTTGTTTATCCACTTACCTTAAAGGACATCTTGGTTGCTTCCTGTTTTTGGCAATTATGAATAAAGATGCTATAAACTTGTATTCAAAATCAATGAGTCTAAAAAGTCAACAATAAGAAAGCAAACAACCCAGTATAAAAATGGCAAGAGATTTGAATCTCACCAAAGTAGATATACAGGTGGCAAATAAGCACATGAAAAGATATTAAGCATCATATATTATTACGGAATTTCAAATAAACATGGAATAGCTCTTCATTTATTTAGCCTGCTTTGATTTCTTTCATCAACATTTTGTAGTTTTCTTCATGTAGCTCTTCATATAGCTACATATTTTATTAGATTTATTCCAAAGTACTTGTTTCTTGGTGCTCATGTAAATGGTGTTGTATTTTCAGTTTCAAATTCAAGTTGTTCATTGCTGGTACACAGGAAAGCAATTGAGTGTTGGATATTAATCTTGTATCCTGAAACCTTGCTATAATTGCTTATTCACTTCAGGAGAGGTTTCTTTTTGTCAGTTCTTCGGAATTTTCTGCATAGACAATCATGTCATCTGCAAAGAGAGAGAGTTTTATTTCTTCCTTCCCAGTATATATATCTTTTATTCCCTTTTCTTGTCTTACTGCACTAGCTAGGACATCCAGTACAGTACTGAAAAGGAGTAGCAAAATAGGACATCCTTGCCTTATTCCAGATCTTAAATGGAAAGTTTCTGGTTTCTCACCATTAAGTATGATGTTAGCTTTAGGGGTTTTATAGATGTTCTTCATCATGTTGAGGAAGTTCCCTCTATTACTAATTTTCCAAAAGTTGTTTTTGTGGTTTGTTGGTTTATCATGAATGGGCATTAGATTTTGTCAAATGCTCTTTTCTCATCTACTGATATGATCATGTGATTTTTCTTCTTTAGATTGTTGATGTGATGGATTACATTAAGTGGTTTCCAAATGTTAAACCAGCCTTGCATACCTGGAATAGATCTCACGTGATTGTGGTGTATAATTCTTCTTATACATTGTTGGGTTCAATTTGCTAATATTTTGTTGAGGATTTTGTGTCTACGTTCATGAGAGGTACTGGTCTGCAGTTTTCCTTTCTTTATCTGGTCTTGGTATGAGAGAATGAGTATCACAGAATGAATTAGAAAGCATTCCTTCTGCCTCTATTTTCTGGAAGAGATTGTAGAGAACTGGTATCATTCTTTCCTTAACTGTTTGATGGAATTCACCCGTGAACCCACCTGGGCCCAGCGTTGTTCATTTTGGAAGGTTATTCATCATTGATTCAAACTCTCTAATAGATATGAGCCTATTCAGAGTATTTATTTCTCCTTGTGTGATTTTTGGCAGATTGGGTCTTTTAAGGAATTGGTCCACTTCATTGTTATAAAATCTATGGATGTGGAATTACTCGTAATATTCCTTTATTGCTGTTTCAGTGTCCATGGGACCAGCAGTGATGGCCTCTCTTTCATTTCTAATTTTAGTAATTTGTATCTTCTCTCTTTTTTTCTTGGTTATCCTGCTAAAGGTTTATCAATTTTATTGATCTTTTTAAAAAACTGACTCTTGATTTTGTTGATTTTTCTCTGTTGTTTACCTATTTTTTATTTCATTCATTGTTGCTTTTCTTCTACTTGTGGGAGGCTTATCTCTCTCTTCTTTCTCTAGTTTCCTAAGATGGAAGCTTAGATTATTTATTTTAGATCTTTCTTGTTTTCTAACGTGTGCCTTCAGTGCCATAAACTTCCCTCCAGTCACCATTTGCACTGCATCCCACGAATTTTCCTAAGTTGCATTTTCATTTTCATTTAGCTCAAGATAATTTTTTATTTCTCATGAGACTTCTTCCTTGCCCCATTTGTTTTTTAGAAGTATGTTGTTTAATCCCCCAAGTATTGGGGGATTCTCCAGCTATCTTTCCAGTATTGATTTCTAGTTTAATTCCACTGTGGTCTGAAAGCATAGTTTGCATAACATCTATTCTTTTAAATTTGCTGAGGTGTATTCTGTGGCCCAGAATGTGGTCTGTCTGGTGAATGCTCCACGTGAGCTTGTGAAGAAGAGTGTGTGTTTTGTTGTTGTTGGTTGAAGTTGTGTGGCTGCCAGTGAGATCCAGATGCTTGATAACGCTGTTCAGTTTACCTTTATCCTCACTACTTTTCTGCCTGCTGGATATGCCCCTTACTGACAAGGGGATGTTCCCGTCTCCAACTATCACGATGGACTCATCTGTTTCTCCTTCAGTTTTATCAGTTTTTGCCTTCCATATTTTGATGCTCTATTGTTAGGCACATACAATTAAGGATCGTTATGTCTTCTTGGAGAGTTGACCCCTTTATCACTATGTAGTGCCTCTCTTTATCCCTGATAACTTTCCTTGCTCTGCAGTCAGCTCTATCTGAAATGAATATAGCTCCCCCTGCTTGCTTTATGTGTTTCAATATTGTGAGTGCCAAAGTGTTTGGCAGGAATTTGTAAAGTGGGCACAGACATTTGAATCAGGCAAAGCTGGGTACCAGCCAGGCTAGTCAAGCTGGGTGACTCTGGGCAAACATATCATTCTGTTCTTCAGTCTTCTCATCTAAAAAATGAGGAACTATCCCTTTGGATTGTCATGAAGATGAAAGGAGATAATGCAATAAAGCACTTAGCAAATTTCCTGGGCAAACATAGCATTCTGTTCCTCAGTCTTCTCATCCAAAAAAATGAGGAACTATCCCTTTGGATTGTTGTGAAGATGAAAGGGGATAATGCAATTAAGCACTTAGCAAATTTCCTGGCATGCAATGTGTAATGAATATATTCTACTAATATAAGCAATTATATTATTATATAATCATATAATATAAGCTATAACATTATTAATATAAGCTATTGGTTATAATTATATTATGGGACTTTGGTATAGATTTCTAATTCCAAGTCTTCATTATGAAGTTGGATGAGGCACTCAGAAGAATAACTTAGAAAATAATTGCAAAGTCTCAGGCTGGAGTGAGTGTCCCATAAGCAGCGTCCAGAAGACAGAAGACTTCACATGTGCCCTGCAGCCCACAGTCCAGGGCCCCAAGGCCAAAGGGAATGTGGCGTTTCCTCCTTGGTGCCGAGTTTCGCTCCTTCTTCTTATTAAGCTGAAATTACATGGGAGCCTTCTGCCCCCACCACTGCCAATTCATCGTCTGGGGGGGAATGTGGTCACACCACGGCCCCCGCTGGAAAAGAGATCCTCTTTGTTTAGATAAATTGTGACTAGCTTTTAAGAAGCAATAGAAATAATTAATCACATGGGAAAACCTTCATTGTACACCAAGGCTTTTAAAAGTTAGTTATAAAACTATGTTGTGTGGTATGATCTCAGTTTTGTTGTGACTTTTTTAAAAAGATTGTAAGCATAGGAAAAAAGACTGGAAGGCTGTGAACCACCGTGTTAACAGTGCCTGCCCCCGGAGGATGGGAGACTAAGTGATTTTACTGCTGTCTTTGTGCTTTTCTCTAGTTCCCATTTTCTGCAATATTAAGAAACCCGTGTTATTTTTTAAATGAACAGAACAACGAATACAACGATCATTACAAAACCTCCCCTTAACTATATAACTCTTGCAGTAAATGGACGATTGTCACTTGCCAGCTGACCTTCCTGGTTTGTGTTTGGGCCATTTCTGGCATCTGTCTTGCCATGCAGGACAACCAAAAGCGTACTTGGGTTTTTGTGTCCTCTCTGGGGTCGGACAGATATAAAGTGGTCATTTTCTGGCCAAGGTCCCCCGCAACCCCCGAGTTCCCTCCTGCCTCTGTGTTGCCAACAACTTGGGCACCTGTTCTGGGTCTGGTGTCAGGCAGAGCCCAGAGCCTAGCCCCTCCACTCACTAGCTCTGTGGCCTTGGGCAAGTCACTTAACCTCTCTGATCCTCAGCATCCGCCTTTTAAAATGAGGATTGCAGTGACCATCCAGTCCTGTGAAGTGTTAGCACGTTGGGGCGCCCAATGTCAGTGGCACTAGTAAGTGTGAGGGGCCCCCTTGTTATTCCTGTTTTCCTGACTCTTCCTGACCCCTCCTCCATTTCAGTCTGCAGACATTGACAACCATCACGCGCTCATTGAATATAATGAGGCCGAGGGAAGCTTTGTTCTCCAGGACTTTAATTCCCGCAGCGGCACCTTCGTCAACGAGTGCCACATCCAGAACGTGGCTGTCAAGCTCTTACCCGGAGACGTCCTGAGGTTTGGGTCTGGAGGGCTGACCTACGAACTGGTCATCGAAAACCCATCCTCGGTGAGTCCAGGCCCCCGCGGGGTTGGGAGCGGTGCAGCCCGGGGCTCAGATACGGCCAAAGGTGGAGCCTGGCCGGGGCACATGGCTCAGATTTCACGCTGCGCACACAGCGGCAGCCACAGGACTGGGTTCTGCGAAGTTCAGCGCCACCCGGTGAGTCCCGGGGAGGAGGGAGTCCTCGCGCCCTCTCCTGGGCACTTTGTGGAATTACATGAAGAGTTGCCCAGTAGTCTGCCCAGAACTTCTGAAAAGTGAGGCTTGGCCAGAGGAGGTGGAAAGCGACTGTGTGCTTTTGAATACTGGGGGGTGGGGGGCGGATGCTTCTTTTTAAGGCAGATCTGTGCTCTGCAACTTCCTAGCTTTGTGACCTCGGCCAGGGTTCTTTGCATGCCTGGGTCTCAGTTTTCTCAGTGGATACGAGGTTTTGAGAGAGTACGTGTAAAAAGGCAAGTCAGTGTCGGCGGGAGTAGATGCCCAGCAGCTGTTATCTTACCCGGATCAGAAATATTCCTGGGATCAGAGCTGAAAGTACAGCCCCAGGTTAAGTGGAATGTAACACAAAACTCGCCCTCACAGCTCAGTCACAAGGAGCATGCAGTCAGTTCAGCAGGGAGGCAGGCTGGGCGCTGGGCAGGCAGAATCCCAGCTCTGCCACTTGCCCCCTCGGTGTGCTCTTGCACAAGCCGCTGGACCCTTGGAACCTCAGTTTCCTCATCTGCAAAATGGGGACAACGACAGCAGTGACCTTGCAGGCTTATCTCGAGGGTATCTGAGGCGGTGACTGTTGTAAAACTCCCAGCACACACAGTGCATTCGTGGTGAGCACACAGTTAATACCTGTCTTGTGTGTTCATCTCACTCCTCACCACCAAGAATACTGCATGGACTGAGACCTCCAAGGCTTAAAATCCTTTCTGGGACGAGGGTGGGTATAAATAAATAGAGTTTAGGGAATCTAGACAGACTCGGGGGGGGGGCATGTAGGCAGCCCTAAATATGCACTCGGAGAAGGTCAACAGCATCCCTCAGGCTGCGGGGACTGACACGCCACATCCATCACGTTCAGCTTTGAAAATCCGGGGCAGCTTTTTCCTGCTGCTGCTCAGCCTCCTTCTCCTCCTTGGACCAACATTGAAGTGTGTTCGTTCATGGGCTGCAACAGGGTCCACTGGCCGCACTGAGGAGGGGTTTGACCTGATCGGGGATTTACAACACGAGTTCTGAGGATCTCCTTTGTTGGTCTGTGGGGAGCAGACCAACAGAGCAGATCTGGGCCCCACCCCAGGCCTGAGGACTCATACTTAGGGTTGGCAGGTAAAATGCAGGACACCCAGTTAAATCTGAATTTCGGATAAACATCAAATAATTTTTTTGTGTAAGTGTGTCCCAAATATTGCAGAGGACCACTTATGCTAAAAAAAATTGTTTGGTGTTTATCTGAAATTCAGATTTAACTGACATCCTATATTTTATTTAAATGTTTATTTATTCATTTACTCACGTGAAATTTGGCCACCGTACACATCCTCCCTGGGGGTGGGCCTGGGAACACCCATTCCCACAAGCTCCCTGGTGATTCTGATGCACCCCCTCCCACAATAGGGAAACCCAAATTTAGAATCATTTGTATGTTGTACAGAATTTTTCAGGGAATTGAAGAAAAAGATATTTCAAACCCCCAAGCCTCAAAATCCAAGTTTGTGAAGTTTGAGTCAACGTTTCGCCAACATGTCTGATTACAAGGATTTGTGGGGAATGCTCAGTAAAATTACAGGTTCCCAGGCCCCCTCTCTGGGAAATTCTGACTTCGTGGCCTGCCCATGGGAGGAGGGGAGGTCAGCAAACGATATCTGCATTTTTCTTCTTTTCTTATACAAAGGTATTTATTGAAATGTTATTTATAGGGGCATAAAATTTGAAACCTAAATTTCCATCAAAAGGGGCATTGTTTAATAAAGTATAAGGAATTTGCTCATATATGGAACACTGTACTGTCTTTAAAAAAAACAGCTTTATTGAGATATAATTGACATACAGGAAGCTGCATATGTTTAGAGTCTGGAATTTGATGGGTTTTGACATATGTGTACACATCGCCACAGTCAAGACAGAAAACGGACCCTCCGTCCCCCAGAGCCTCCTTAGGATCACAGCATGTGTTTGCTTGTTTTTAACGGCCTCCTTGAAGTACAATTTATGTAACATAAACTTTACCCATTTTAAGTGTACAATTCAATCAGTTGTAGTGTTTTTACGAATTTATGCAGCCATCACCACAGCCTGCTTTCAGAACATTTCCATCCGTTTCCATCACCTCAAACCTCAGAGAAACCTCAGAGGCACTTCGCTTTTTGTTGGTTTTTAATTTTTAATTTTTCACAATTGTGGTAAAATACATATTAAATTTATCCCCTTAACCATTTTTAAGTTGACAGTTCTGTGGCTTTAAATATATCCATCTCCAGAACTTTGTTCATCTTCCCAAACTGAAGCTCTATGCCTATTAAATAAAAACTCCCTTTTCCTTCCTCCCTAGCATCCATTCTCTCTCTATGAACTTGACTATTTTACATACCTAATATAGGTGGGACTTTACAGTGTTTGTCCTTTTGTGACAGTCTTAATTCACTTACTATGATGTCCTCAAGGTTCATCCATGTTGTCGCATTTGTCAGAATTTCATTCCTTTTTAAGGCTGAGTAATAGTCCACCATATGTAGATACCACATTTATTTATCCAGTCATCCATCAGTGGCCACTTGATATCAGATAAGTGTGAGGAACAGTGATGAAGACCTCTAACCTTGACTTGACAAGAAGGAAGAGGATGCTTTGTAAAAAGAGGAACCAGGGGCACAGCAGGAGGAACCACTGACAATGACAGCTCTGTGCTAAGCAATTCACCTGCTTTCGTTTATTTCACATTTACAGCAACCTGTGCAGTGGGTTCTCTCATGGTCCCCATTTTACGGACAAGGAATCCAAAACTCAGAGAGGTTAAGTAATTTCCCCAGAGTCACACAGCTCAGTCAATGTGAATTAAACTCTATCCCCTTTTGTGGAAAAAGGAGGGGAGAAAACCATTTAGTCTGATGCCAGCTAGAGCAGTATCCTCGACTGGTTTTCAAATAGAGCAAGGCACACTTTTATAGTCACTTGAGTAGACACGAGTTTTTTCAGTTACTTCCACGTGTGCTTGCACCCTGCTTTGTTCCTCGGGTGATGGCAGGCAGCTACACAGGTGCTGCCCCCAGCCTGAGCCCAGGGCAGCTCGCAGCAGCCCGAGCCTCCCCAGGGGCAGGACTCTCCCTCAACCCTTCTTCTCAACAGTGCTCTCTGCTGGGGCATCCCCAGAGCATTCCTGAAGCTTGTATTCACTGAGGGGTCCTTTGCAGGGCCTGAGTGAGGGCGGCCTGTGGACTGAGTAACATGTGCCTACAAATTCCACTTCCTGATGACCCGGACCTACAAGCTATCTGAAAGAAAAGAAAGAAAGAGGGGAAAAAGAGGCAGGATTGGAGATCGTCTCCCATCAAATATTTTGAGACCCAGTTTTTCCAAGAAACTGGTGGCTGTCTTGAATCCTGCATGTTCTTGTTTCTGGTTGATTTTTTGGTCCCAGGCGAGGGCGCTGTGTTCCCTCCCGGGGTGGAGTTTCCAAGGAGGATTGTCTCCCATGTCATACCGGCTGGGTGTGATCAGAACTGTTCTTTTCCGGACAAAGAGTTCCCAAGTGAAAACATTTATTTCAGGCTTTGTGGCGACCATAATGAACAGAGAGGGATGTGACGGCATTTATCGAGGGGGGAATTTAGGGAACCAAACGTTTTGCAGACGTCACAGTGGTTAGAGCATGCGTCCCAGCCTTGCTCTTATGCTGGCTTTTATCCTGGGCGTGCACAAGGCATCACCTCTCAAAGCCTCGGTTCCCATTCCAGTAGTAATAAATAGTTCTCCACCACATGGAGGGATGGCAGTCGGTGGGCAGTGTATGTAAGTTGCTGATAGGCACTTAACAACCCTCAGCCTTAGAACCAAGCAAACCGGCATGTGGCAGCCAGGACGCCTCCTTGGCGAGTGTTCTTTGGACAGGAAATCTCCCAAGATCTCCCCAGCTAGCAGATGGATACACTTGCAGACAAATTACCCATGAAATGACATACGAGATGGAAAAATAGAAAGAAAAACTCTGGGTTGGCCAAGTACATTGGCAGCCAGGCTATGCCCAGGAGTAGACACTGTAAATCATAGCTCTCTCACCGAAGTATAACCTGGGGCGTCCATGTTGCACACCCCAGGGGGCACCATCCACGTCACAGTCCACGTGGGTGGCGGCCCCTGGAGCTGCGCAGGGCATAACGTGCAGGGTCATTTGCAATGCCCTGAAGCAACCGGTAAGCAGTATCGCAGAGTCTGTGCCTCGGCACCAGGCGTGGGGAACTAAAGTCACCAAGTCGGGGTGCCCGCCCGCCGCATTGTGGGTTTTGCTTGTTGTCGCCTTTCTTAGTGCTTTCTGAACCCCAGGACAGGAGGTGTAAAACCAGCCGTCCTGTTCACAGTGCTGGTGTTCTTATAAAGCAGCTGAGTAAGGAAACCCTGGTCACCCAAATGTACAAAATGGTGTCTTTGTCTGCTCTGGAATATGGCAAAATTTATTGAAAATTTATTCTACCTTTCTGAGCTTCAGTTTCCAATTTCTGCCAAGGAGCATTCAGCACGGTCCCCTTTCTCTCTTCAGGATTTTAATAGAGGTTCCTGGGACCACCCCTATCATTGTATAAACTGATGCCCAAGGAGTTTCAGTGGCTTCCCCAAGGTTATGCGTCACTCATGTAGATCCAGAGCCAGGATTAAAAACCAACTTGCCGGAGTCCCTGGGAGGGTTTTCCTAACAGCGCCAAGCGTCATGGCAGGTCTTGACTGCCCAGCGGCTGAGGAAGGTTTTGCGAGTCCCAGGCCAACCTGCAATTTCACACGCTGACGAGGATGACTCATCCTGT